AAAAGAAATGTCAAAAATTTCATTTAATTAAATAATTAATTCATAAACATGGAATAAATAAACACTATAATAACAAATACCACCACCACTCAAATATTGTTCTAATGACATAGGACATGAATTATGATTTGCTGCAACATTCAACTAAAACAAACAAACAACAGACAATTGATTGACTAATTAACTAATAGGTATATATGCTATACCATTCATATCTACATGTACAAGATTTATTAACTTACCTAGTATGATTTAAGTTATTGATTCCATTTTCTTGACTCAATGAAGTTTTCATCATTGATGTGAGTTCAACAAATTCAGGATTCAATGTCAATTCCCCAGAATCTGAATCATCCTTGTCATTACCATTTTCAGATGAACTATCATTACTACTACTATCATCAGATGAAGCTGAATCTAATGAATCATTTCTTGTACTGTTGTCATCATTGTCATTGTCATTGTTGTTGTCATCATTGTCATCATCATTTTGTAGGTGTCTTATTTTTTGTATTGTATTACTTCTAAATAATCCTCCCCCCATGGATTATCATCATCTTCATCCACTTCCATGTCATTATCATTGTCATTATTATTATTAACATCAACATCAGCATTGTAATCTTCTTCAACCATTTCATCAAATTTTATAGCAAATTCTTGCAGTTCACTAGATGTTTCAAAATTATCAAATTCACCTGTATTAACATGATAACTAGATTTCACAATTTCTAATGACCATGTCTAAATTTAAAAAATAAAATATTAAAAATATTTTTTTCAATTATTAATATTAATATTAATTAAATAAAAAAAATATTTACGTTTGTTTCCTTATCAAAAATCATTAAACATTTTTTAATGGCTTCTGGATCATAAGTGTTATTATTATGACGATCTTCAACCAAATGTCCTGCTAGTTTTAATGGATCCTCTGCCTAAAATTCAACACAAGTACATAAATAAATAAATAAATACACACGCACTAACCCCATTTTGTTCATTATAATTAATTTCAAATGTTTCCTTACTCTCTGCTAACTTTATAGTTGCCTCATTTGTAAAATCTATTTCTTCTGTGTCAACTTCAACTAAATCATATCATGATAAATTTTTATTTATAAATATAAATATAGCATAACATGAATTGATAATATAGAGGTCGATTGCGATTCTTTTTTTTAAAACTTGACCCGATTCGAAATTCAAATTCTTCACCAAACTTGTTAATTATATCTTCTAAAGTTAGCATTGTTGTATGTTTCAATATTATTAAAATAAATAAATGCAATTAATATATGGTGCGTTGGGATGGTCAGTAAATATGCAGATCAAAATTAATATTCAGAAAAGCTTACTTTTTGATATTTTGGTTTGTTGAAGTTTTACCATACTTGGACTATGTAATGGTTTATCAATTTTAAATACAAATTCACTTCTCTGGCGATAATATACATTATATAAAAATATAAAATATGAAATTTAGAGTGGAGAAAGTGGGGGGTTTTTTTCAGTATAAAGTTACAATATTTCCTTTTTCTTTGCGGATAACTGAATAGTAATAGCGTGTAACAATGGAAATTATTACTATCATCATGGTAGTGTGCGCCCTTTTTCATACAAATAAATTAATATAAATCTTGGATTATTTAAAAACCAACTTTAAGTAATTGATTCATCGTGACTCTAATGCATTCTTCTTTTTCTTTGTTTAGTAAAACTTCATTTGCTATAGAGAATTTATATTAAAAATCATAATATCGAGCTGAATTTATATATAACCAGATAGGAAAATCTTCAACTTCCTTATAGTAGGCTCACTATACCGATAATTGACCGTATTTCGATTATTATCAAACAATAATATTAGCAATTCAAACTTTATTTCACTAAAAAATTTTTGTCTTCTTTCTCCACGTGACGCAGCAATTGGTGTCTTTAGACTGGGCCAACCATAAAATGGGTTTTTCCATAAAACTGAAATGTTGATATTGTGCAAGAATGCAATATTTTTTGATAATTAAAAAATAAATAATCTCAAATCATGAATCAATACCAATATACATGAATGGAAGAACATATGCGCTATTATCTTTATAATTCAAGAATTTCAGAGACTGCCATTTGTTATTTCTGGTGCATCAATATTACTCAACTCCTCATTCCACTTTATCACCCCTCTCAAGAACCTATGCACTATACAATCAATCAACACCCAACAATGCTTCTTCAATATTAAAGATCTCTCTCCTTTGTCAAGGAGACATGTGAATTAGCTATATTAGGCTGAGGCCTGGAACAATATAGTGAGGAAATCTACAATTATTACAGCACGCCTTGCTAGTTCACAGGATAGACATCAATTAACTAAAGTGATGACGAATCAATCAAATGAATGACCGGTCACAAATTCAATGGTCAGTTATCAAATATCAGCGGAAATGAATGACCGACCAGTCATGATGCTTCTGATTCCTAACAAATTCATTGGCCAATTATCAAATTATCAGTGGAAATGAATGACCAATGAAAGTGATATTGAATCAAGTAATAAAAATGATAACAAATCAAGCAATGAAATGATAATGAAACAAGTGGTGATGGTGATAGCAAAGTAAGTTGGTGGAATACAAATTTAGATTCTAATTGCACTTATTTTGTAAAAGTTCTTCAAGATGAATGGAGCCTTCTGCATGTCATTCTGTTTACGAACTAGGTGATCTCATGCTTCACAAGCTAAAGGATGGCGAAAGATAATTGTCAAACAATCAATCAATTGTTTAATAAAACAGAATCAACTAAAGCTTTAATTATAAATTCAGAAATCAATAATAAAACGTAAAATTTTGACATATACCATATTGATATTATATATATATAGCCTGCATACGAATAAAATAAATAGTTTACGTCACAGCGGACTATAATTAAATTCTAGATTTTTAAAAATTTTTGTTTCACGTATAAAAACATATAAAATCTGTTGTAGAAGATTAGTATTAATATTATAATTAATAACCTTGCCATAACGGATTTTAAAATTATGTGACCCGTTCATCCGCTGTGACAAAGTTTGACTGTTTTTAAATCAGATCTCAATTACCTCATTAAAAATTGACGATTCCTTTGCGTTGCAAATTTCAAGGAATGGACACAAACAAAAATGTAATAATAACCTTGTGATGAAGACTTTGCTTTGGTTTCCCATCCCGCAGGTTCAAGGCCAAAAAACTAATCAAATTTATGTTTTAAAATATTTTTCTTTATTTTTATTGGACAAAAAATTGAAATTATAACTCCAAAGTGCACAATGTTTCTTCTGCAATTTGGTTTTTCCAACCTGCGTAGGTTTTAGTTATTCAATTGACAATCTTTGGAATTCCTTCTCTCCATGCCACACATTCCAAAGTTCTTTGTGCATATTTTCAGCTGTCATTTTTTATTATTATCCAATCTAACAAACTCAAATATCCCAGTCCATCAAGAACTAATTTGGAACTTTTTACGAAATGTCATTGAAAGACAAATGATAAATATTTATTGTTTTTGTTTTGTTGATGCCATTGCTCTTCAATCTTAAATACGTTTTTTGATTTTTAACCCAGATGCATTCTATACTTTGAGCTGGAGGAGATGAAAGCTGTTGACATTTTTGAATAAAATCATCAATTATCTCATTTCCAGATGTCCAAGTGCTGAAAAGGTTCTGTAAGTGTAGACTAATGCACTTTTCACAAAATTTATCAGTGAATCTTGTTGTTTTACAACTATTACATTCTCTTGGTTCTCCATATTTATAAATTGCTTTTTTTAATTCGAAATTATAAATAAACTTTTCTCTACAATGTCCCTTTTCTATTTTCACTGTCAGGATTAAAAGTAGTTGGAAAAGAAGAATAAGAAATTTCATTATAAACTTTATCTAAATCTATTTCGCCTGGTGTTAATAAATGATATAAATTGTTGGATATTTTAATTTAAATTTTTTTAAAATCAATATTATTTCAATTAATATAAAATTTGATTTACCCAATTGTTTCTCTTGTCATAATTTTCACCCTTTTAATCTTACGGTTATTAAAATCCTTGGTATGCAATATTTCTTTTACAGTAAAAATATTAAACATAGTATAAATGAGAGTGGAATAAAAACAAAAAAAAAAGCAAACCCAAATGCAAACTTCATAACTAACAAAATCTTTTACATAGTGAATCTTTGTCTCATTTTCCAGATTGAGAGTCTATTTTTCTTTGTTTCATTCTGTTAAATTTCGAGTTCAGTCAAAACATTATATTATCTTTCAAAAACAAGTAATCAACAACAATACAATCTACTTCAAGAAAATGCTTCAAAAATGAAATATAGTATTCATTTTACATTTAACATTTGACTTGGAGATAATTTTGAATTTTGACATCAGGAAAATTATGTATTATATTAATTATTTAATCATAAAAACATACGTTTCAATTTATTTTCAAACTTTCTAGAAATAATAATAAAATAACAAAATAAATTGTTAATAAATATGAAAAATAATGAAAATAATTAATAAATAGTGATTATCTACCCATCAACAATTCACCCAATTCTCCAACTATAACCTTATAAACTACTTATTATTATTATTATTAATTAATAAATAATCAAATTTAAATTAATAGATTTCAATTATTAACAACTATTTAATTTCCTTATTAAAATTATATTTCATAATTTAATAAGCTATCATTACTACAATTAAATTTAGCAAATTCATCATTTAATATTCTACTTGTATGATATGCTAATGGATGTGATTTGTATACTTGTTGTGAATCACTGCTACCACCAGTAGTATTATAACTATTATTATTATTGATAATTTCATTTAGTTGGTTATCAGCAAATTTACGAAGTTCTCTAGTAGTTGGTCTCTTGGCTGAATCCACATCCCAACACCTTTTCATCATTTGTGTATAATCATCAGGCATTTCTGGTAATATTGGTGGATGTAAACCTTCACATATATTAAACATTAAGTCATGATTATGAGCTCTATCATCAAATGGTGGATGACCTGCAAATAGTTCCCACATTAACATTCCAACACTATAAATATCTGATTCTTTTGTGTATCTTTTCCCTCTAAATAGTTCTGGTGCAATATAAGGTACAATTCCATAAGTTTTATTTGATGATTTTTCATCAACTGGTCCACATAATCCAAAATCTGTGATATAACAAACACCTCCTTGCAATAATATATTACCACTATGTAAATCACAATGAATTAAATCTTTTTCATGTATATTATATAATGATTCACATAAACTACTAAAAATATTAATTCTATCTTTTAATGTTAAATTATAATGATTTTTTTGTATATAATCTCTTAAATCTCCTTCTTGATAATAATTAAGAACCATTGCATAATTTCCATTTTCTGGGAGTTTAGTTATACCATGACAAGGGACAATCAAAGTTGATTTAATTTTACAATAATTCAATGCCTAAAATTAATTATATAAATAAAATAATTAATTTAAAATAAATGGTTTAAATCAGTTTATTTTAAATAACAATCACCTCATCAAAAAAAGGTTTTCCTGGATTACTTGAACTATTTAACAATTTTAATACTACAGTTTGAGTTCCAATATAATTAAACTCCTTTTTATTTTCATCATAATCATCAATATATCCTCTTGTCCACACAGCAGTATAAATAGAACTGAATTCACCCGCTGTTAATTTTTTTATATTGTAAAATTGCTCATAAGGTATCCATTCTATAATTTTACTTGGAAGAGATGAAAGTTGTTGACATTTTTGAATAAAATCATCAATTATCTCATTTCCAGATGTCCATGTGCTGAAAAGTCTCTGTAAGTGTAGGCTAATACACTTTTCGCAATATTTATCAGAGTATCTTGTTGTTTTACAATTATTGCATTCTCTTGGTTCTCCACATTTATGAATTGCATTTGTTAATTCAAAAGCATAAATAAACCTTTCTCTACAATATTCCTTTTCATTTTCTAATAGTTTTTTATTTTCTTTGACTAATTGTAAAAATAACCTTTTTTTATTTTCAAGGTCAGGAACAGTTGGAAAAGCAGAATGAGCAATATTATTCATTTCATTACAACTTTTACATGCTAGTTCTCTTCTGTCTGGTGTTAACAATTTATTAAAGGACATTTTAACTTTTTAATATTTTTTAAAAAAAAAAAAAAAATTTTTTTTGACGTATTCCCTTTTTTTGT